TGAATTCTGTTTGCTTCTTAATTAGATTAGAGGCTGGTGGCTTGTAATTCAGAGCTGGTGCTGCACTGAGGGTGGGAGGCAGGGTTTGGCAGAGGCCCGCAGGCCACTAGCTTGTTCCAGGTCTCCCTAGGGACTGTCCCCAGGGCTTTGCTCCTCCAGGGTTGTGTGGCACCCAGGCTGGAGGGAGGAGTAGGCCCTTGGTGTCTGTCTAGACAGGCTTCCCACTTCTGTATGCCTAGATGACTGATCCCTGTTCTTCCCACTTCTTGGTCTTTACATTTCACATCAGTAGTCACTGCCTTGTAAGGTCCTTGTCACACCCACTCATAGCACCACACACCTCTCTTCATACCACCTATTAAAGTACAATGCTCTATTTATTTGTGATTCTGTAATATGTCTTTTTTCCTCAGCATGGTTATTTTTATGTGAAAACTTGATTGGGTCATGGTGTGCCCAGATATTTGGGTAGATACTGTGAGTATTTCTGTAACAGTGTTTTTGGATAAGTTTAACATTTAAATTACCACAATGAGTATAACAGATTGCTCTCCCAAATGTGGATGGGTCTCACCCAATCAGGTGAAGCCTGAATAAACAGGCTGGCTCTCCAAATGAGAGGGAATTCTTCTGCTTGATTGCCTTGACGCTGGGATACTTTTTACCCCTCTTTGAACTTGAACTGAAACATTGGCTTTCCTGAGTCTTCAGCTTGCTGACTGCAGATCTTAGGACTTGTCAGCCTTTATAATCATGGGAGTCAATTCCTTATAATGCATCTTTTTAAACCACAAACACACACACACACACACACACACACACACACACACACACGCACACGCACACACACACACACACACACCCCTATTTCCTGGAGTCTGAAACAGTACCTGGCCTCCTATAGTACATGATCAACAAATACTAAATAAATGAATAATGGGGCCCCCTATATCTGGCAAGAGGCATTTCAAGCATCTTATAGCTATAGGCCTGGGTCAGAGGGATTTAGGAGGAATAACTGTGATAACTTCTGCTGCCATCTATTGACCCCTCTCTGACCAGCAGGGTGCTAGGGTCTTAAACATGTGATGGCATCAGTGTCTTGTGAACACCAGCCTTGTGATGCTACCTTTAATCCTTCCACTTTCACCGGAGGAACTTGGGGCTCAGAAGGATGAATGACTTGCCTGACATTACATAGGCACCAAGTGTCAGAGCTGACCTCTGGTCTCAAAGCATCTGCTTTAAATTTTTCTCGTTCTAAACCCTTCTAAGGTTTTGTCCTGCCTCCATCTTGAGGTCAGGGGTTATGGAACCTCCTGGCCAGTTTGTTCCTCAACACACAGGACTTGTGTGGGTCTGTCTGACACCAAAGTCCAGGCTGGTGTCCTTGTTCTCTCTCATGTCCCCCTTGGTTGGTGGCCTCCAGCCCGGTCCTGCCTTCACTCACCAGTGAGAACCTGCCTCCATAGGTAGCTCATGTTGCTTCACATCGGCACATCCCAAACTGGTCCCCACCACTTCACTCTCCTGGTATGGCTCCCTGTACCCCACAACCCCATGCCATTCTCTTGTCAACCCACGAGCATACATTTATTTATTGACTAAGTGTTTACCAACTTCCTGTTTATGAGCCAGGTCTTGGCAATAGATGTCAGTGAAACAGACTCTGTTCTTGCCCTCAGACAGTCACTGGCTAGGGGAATGACACGGAGCAACTAATTCCACATCCATGTGTGATGGAAGTCAACCTCTAGCACCGTTCTCAGCACACAGAGGTATTTTAGAAGATAACATCCTTCCTCTTTCCCCTTCCTTTCAATCTCCGCAGCCACCGGGCTATTCTAACTTATGAATTTCCCTTGCACTGAGACTAAAGAAAACCTTCCAAGGCTGCACTGTGTTAATCTTCTGCAATACCCAAATTCTATTAACTCAGCTCCCCCTGCTAAATGACTCATTGTGCTTCTCAATCTGGGGCACATGCATGTATCCTTGGGGGAGGGTCAACGAGGGGGAGGGTATGAGTGTACCGTGGAGCACAGGATGCCATAGGGTCAATGCTGTATCTTTCGGGAACACTGATTTTGCTTGAAATTTGGTGGTGGGGTAGACTATTACATTAAACATTTTATGGGGGTAATATTCAGAGTTCATATGAAATTTTGGTTAGAAAAATAGGATTTTAAAGAAAATCTGTGTGGTCAACACAGATGGCTGATGTATGTGGACATGAGCTGTCTGCTTTTGCTGATTGGCAGATCCTACACAGCACACCAAAGAGGCTGAATTGCCTCTGTGTGCCTTTCTTTCCTGGAAGCTCTTCCTGGACACAGGAGAGCTGGACTTGGTGGAAAAGCTTAAGAAGAATGGCTACTAATGGAGCCAGGCTCTGGGTGTGAAGCAGCACTCAATGGATAAATGAATAAATGCCTGCATATGTGTGACAGCATAAACTTCTGTCTCATCTTTATGGGTGAACCTACTTGACCTCAATTCAGTATTTCCTTTCCCTTCAAGCCTGGTCCTTTTCCTGTCTCAAGGTTCCAGGTACTTAGTAACTTAAGAATTATGCTGCTCTGTACTCACTGCTCCCAAACCCTTCTTACTTGTTTCCCATCTAACCAAATCCCACTGGTACTTCCACACTGCACTGTTCAGCCCCAGCCATCCCTGTGAGGTCTATCTCAATTGTCTCACCCTCCTCCTCCACTGTCTGTCTACACATGCTGCCTTGTTGATTCTCCCTGAAATGTTCCCAGGCCACATCTTACCCCCTCTGCTAAATTTTACATTCTCTGAGTGTAGGAGATGTCTTGCTTTCTGTTGTGCAACTCAGAGATCTCTACACATCACAGGTGTAAGAATACCATGTTGAAGTCCTGAGCAAATGAACTGGAAATGAATTGGAGTCTTCTCAGTGGTTCTCACGTGGAAGCCACTTTTCCCCCAGGGAGATATTTCACAATGTCTGGAGACATTTTTCTTTTTTTCTGTCACAAGTGGGCTTGTGTCACTTGCAGCTGTTAGGTAAGGCCAGGGATGCTGCTAGACAACCCACAATGCACAGTGCAGGCTCCTCCCCTAAACAAAGAATTCAGCAGTGGGCCAAAATTCAATTGTATAGCATCTTCTAACTTCATTTCTTCTCTTTATTCTCCCAGCTAGAACTCAACCTCCATCTTTTCCTTGTGTCCAAACAATTTCTCTAAGAAAACCAATTTGATCACATTACTCCCCCGGTTACTTTGGTGACTATTTACTAGTTTTGAACCCAAAAATTCTATTTTGGGAGAGTTCACATTATGACCTTGGGATTATGTCCAGGCATTCCCTACAAACCACCATATCAATCCCCTGCACTTCCAGACGTATTGTTATTCTCATGCCTCAGCACCTTTGCACATCTGATCCTTCTGCACTGAATGCTTTCTGCTTGTCAGCTTATTTAAGTATCCTGTGCAAAGATCAACAGATAGCACATCAGTATTTTTTAGCACCAGGCTGGACCAGGCACTGTGTAAGGTGCTGGGGAGTCTTCAGGGAACAAGACTGAATGGTCTATGTTCTCAAGTGGCTGTCAGCAATCTCTAGAATTTTCTGCAATGATGGAATGTTCTAAATTTGCCCTAATATGGTAGCCACTAGACACAACTGGCTTTTGAGCACATGAAATGTGACTGGTCAAATACATGATAGGTTTTGAAGACTGAGTATCAAAAAAAGAAAATGCAAAATATCTCATTAACATTTTTTAACATTTATCTCATCTAAGGCCCAGGACAAATGTGTGAGTTGGCTATTATGATTATCATGTCCATTTTATATATGAGAAAACAGACTCAGAAAGGTTAAGGGAAGGAGGAGAAAGACAGCTAACAAGGGAGCATGGTTTTGCCCTGCGTCTGTGTGTCTCTGGAATCCATCTTCTGTACAGACAACTATACCACACACACTGGCTCCTCTGTGCAAAATCTCTGCCAGAAAATGAGCAAACAAAAGTCTCCCAAAGGAGCACAAGATACCCACCCCTTTCCTCCTCTTACACCTACACAGAGAATACTCAGATCACTCAAAAGGAATGGAAATGGAAAACTGGGACAATTCAGGGAAAGGTCTTCAGTTCTGACTTTCCACAGTAAACTGGAACAGCCAAAAAGTTCCTAGGGACCTGGGCCTGGCTACACTTTAGTTCCAGGATTCTGAGTTCAATAACACCACCACAAACAACAACAAAACCCTGGCAGCTAACAGGTGAGGCTAGGATGCACAGCTTTTGTCTCACCTGAGCATCCTGGTAACTGCATACCACTTTGCCCAATGCTACACAAGAATTGCTGCCAGGCATCCCTGCCCTGGGGAGCAGTCTGTTTTCTAGTGGTGCTCCCTGCTGGTCCCAGACACATCCTGCCAGCCTTACTGCTTACTGTCGGTGCCAGCAGCTCCATCTGTGTCAGGACCCTGATCACTCCAGGATGACCTGAGGGACCTGGGCCTGGCTACGCTTTAGTCTAATTTCCTCTGTAGGGCTTTTCTGTGGTCTCCCCTAGAACCACTGGGGCTTCTACAGTACAGGTTTCCAGAGCCCTAGTATCTCCAAGAAGCCACCAACTCCTTCCCCAGTCACCATTCTTGGTTATTTGTAAACTCTCAGCCTCTTGCATAGTCCTGTTAACTCTGCTGCCAAGATCTGTCTAGAACTCTCTGCCCTGTCTATGTCCACATTGCCTCCTTGTCCAGGAGTCTCTTTGGTGCCTAGGCAGCAAGTGATCTGAACATGTAATTCAGATCACGTCACGGTTTTATTCAGACACTTGCTGGCCAGAGTCATTGAATGAGAGGTTTCACCTTCAGTGAAACACTGAGCATGGAGCTGACTCCTGAGTCGGGTCAACACTGGAGGCTTCTTTACTACCAGTGCACCAGGACCTTCCAAGTCCCCCCTCCTCCCATGTGTCAGAGGCCGGTGCTCCTCCCCCAACCCTTGTGCTGCTACTCACACTTGGTGTGTCTGTCACACAGGGCTGAGGCCCGCATGTCACACAGCCGGATTGTCCCTTTGCTGCTGCTGTACACGAACGTGTTGCAGTGATCGGGGTGGAACTCAGCTGCTGTGATCACCTCTGTGAGCTCCTCCATGTTGGCCGGCTTAATATCCACGATATCTGGCACAGACGAGTCAAGGAGGGAACCAGGACAAGGGGGCAGAAACTCGGGATTCAAACTGTAGCACCTTCTAGAAGTGTGACATGGTAGCATTTACCGCACATCATGACTCCTCAAGGTAACTCTGGATATATACTGGCTTCAGGCAGATGATGCTTGGGGACTTAATAGACTATGGTTCCCCAATAGTCAAAGGTCACATGAGAATTCAGGTCCCCTGACTCCTTACCACTGTTTTATCTTCTCTTGTAATGGGGGCTTAAAAGCTGCTTTTGCTGAGGTGCACTGACTCCTTAGTCGGTCCAGGCATTAACAAAAGGCAGGAAACTGATGATTGCAACATTTCTTTTCCACAGAAATGGAAGGAATAAATTGACAGTGGGGAAAATGTGACTGGGACCACAAAAGGGAAAAACTTTTTGTATAGTCAGCTTGCCTGCTGGCCAGTTTGTCTTCTTGTTGACTAAACTGACATTTTTTTCCCCTCTTTGTCTACATGCTGAAGAGTTCAAGATTAACTCCCTTTTCTCTTCAATTAGGCCAAGTAGCTCTATACCCCTTATCTTTCTCTGACCACCAGAGCAGTAAACCTGCCAGTCAAGATATACAGTTTCAGAGAGGTGGCGCTGGACACCTGGAGAACAAGGCCAGCAGCCGTGGAGAGCATGCATCTGGTCACAGTCAAGCTGAGCCCCAGACCTTCTTCTCTCAGAAGAAGGGTGACAGGGCTCTGAGATGTTGATTCTCCCTATCCTCCTCTTTGTCTGATAAATAATAAACCTTATTCCCTTTTCTTCAAAACCTGGATCTCATTATTTGTAAATTGTAAATTGGTGTTGGGGCTGGGGATGGGTTTTTCAGGAACACGCTGACTTATAGAAGGACATCCATTCAAGACCAGGCCCCCGTTCATGCAATCGTGCAACAATGTGCCAAGCTGCAAAGCCTTTTGCCTTCCATTTCATAACAGTCATTAGGAACTAGCCCCATTTCAACCAAATAATTCCATTTACTTGAATTTGTACCCAGACTCCTAGAATGATAAATGGTTATCTACAAAAGACTGCAAACCCTCTTCCATGGAATAGCCTTAATAATATGGAAAATTATTAAGTAATAATAATAGCTGCTACCATTTATCGGGTGCTTAGAGTGGGTTATTCATGGGGCAAAGCACGGTGTACGGTTAGTCCACTTAGCCTTTTCAAAAACTTTATCTCTTATGCCCATTTTTCAGAGGTGAAAGTGGAATCTCAGAATGCCTCAGATACTCAGATTTCATTCCTGGGGAAAACCTGTGCTGATTCGTAATTATGCAACCTTTCTCTCTTTGAAGATGTCTGGGTTTCTTAGTCTCCATAAGCTGTGATTTGATTTAGAGGTTGAGTGGGACCCTGAGTATCAGAAAGAAGTCATCCATGTGTGGCAGGAGGGATTTCAGCTCTTATGGAATCTACTCTTAGTTGTGTCATCTGTTTCTTCTCCCCCCTCAATATTTTCCTCTCTGATAAAGAATTATTATGCCTCTATTTTTTCACTGCTTAGAAAATGCTTTATTGGTTTCTGCAATCAAACCCACATGGAGGAGTTGGTGTAGTGGCTCAAGCAGTAAGAGTGACTGCCCAGCAAGTGTGAGGCCCTGAGTTCAAACCCTAGTGCTGCCAAAAAAAAATGTAGATAAGACCTTACATATTTAAAATGGTGGGGTACCTCTTTTTTTTTTGCCATTTATTTTATTTTTTATTTTTTGGAATTTTTTTCTCTTTTTTTTATTGTTTTATTATTCATATGTGTATACAAGGCTTGGGTCATTTCTCCCCCCTGTGTCCACCCCCTCCCTTACCACCCACTCCTCCCCCTCCCTCTCGCCCCCACCCCCTCAATACCCAGTAGAAACTATTTTGCCCTTATCTCTAATTTTGTTGAAGAGAGAGTATAAGCAATAATAGGAAGGAACAAGGGTTTTTGCTGGTTGAGATAAGGATATAAGTGGAAAAAATTAAGCATAATATTTCTAGGCCAATACAGCTATTAATTTCTCTACAATGTCAACTCAACACTATAAACTGAGATTTTTCCCCCAAAGTTGATAGCACAGCTAAAGTTTCCAAAAAATTAAAATTACATTAAATTTAAAAAATATATATTATACCTCTATTTTTTTAAGCCACATCCTTGTACACTGGAATGAAACATTGAATCGTTCGTTATGAAGGCAGTTCAATGGAAACAAATGCTTTCTATAGGGTGTTTGGCAGGAGTGAAGGGATAGGTTTGTATTGACTGCTTCATTTCCCTACCAAGAGCTGGGGCAGAGGTTCTGTCTGAGGACCGAGAAACTTCCTGCAAAGTATCACTCCTTGTGACTGGGTGCTCTACACAGTGAAGCTGACCTAAATGATTTCTGTATTTCCCAGACTTTAACACTTGAGCCATCTTTGTGATTTTAGCCCATGTATGTGTCATCAGAGAGTACTTTAAAAAAATTGTACAAAGGGGTTTCATTTTTACATTTTCATATATACATACAATATACCCATCAAATTCACCCCCTCTGTCACTCTCCTTCCTCCCATTTCCCCTTCTTACAACAATCCCAACAGGTTTCATTGTTCTATTTTTATACATTTGTGTAAAGTTCATCCTCTAAAACTCCTCCTTTTCAGGCTTCCCCCTATGGTGGTACCCACCCTGAACAGAACTTATTTTATATTCCTGTCATTCATTTTTAAGGACTAGACTCCACATATGAGAAAGAACATGCAATAATTGTCTTTCTCAGGCAACATTTTTTATAGTTTTTCTTTATACCATCTATAGATTGGCTTACTTTTTCTTGGCAAATTCTTATCTATGCAGTAATCCATTCAATGTTCATAAAATCATATGTTCAATGAGCTAGTTATATTTTAATAATCAACATGAAAATGAACATATTACAATTAAAATGCAAATGTATTTGCCAGAAGACTATGTACAACATTTTGGAAAATAATACACTGACTCAATAAGCAATAACTTGATACAGATTATCACAGGGGTGCTCTTTGCTTTTTTTGGCTGTACTGAGGTTTGAACTCAGGTCCTCACCCTTGCTAGGCAGGCATTGTTACCTCTTGAGCCACTCTGCCAGCAAGGGGTGCTCTTTATCAAGTAAGTAGCACAGTCCTCTCTTTGCAAGGACAAACAGGCTGATATTTTTAGTCTCACTAGCTCATTAGTTGCACTACCACTAACAAAGTAGCCATCTCCTATAAAACACCACCCATGCTGCTGCTAGAACTATTCCACCATGCAATTTTTGCAACAATGGCTTTGTATTTGACTGTGCCTTCTTCCCCTTCAATGATCTCTTGTACATCCTGTTGGTTTCTTTCTAAAATTAGTTTGAGACTGAGCTAAATTTCCCCCCACCAAACCTAGATGCAAAGATCACTTGGATCTCCAGGAGACCCAAAATTCCACCTTTCAGCTCAACCTCTGCCAGAGCTCTATATATTACTGCAGTTGGCACATGCCCTGGGGAGCAGGAGGAGGCTGCAGTGTGCAGCTCTGATGTCCTCTCCAGCTGCTGACCTGTGCCATGGGCTCCTTGGCCACAGCATGGGGTGGGGTGAGCAGAGGTTAGTGGTCAGCCGTTGTCAGATTTCCTCATCCTCCAAAAGAGCCTGATACCCTATGGTGCCAGTGAGCATGTTTTTTATTTCCCAAAATAGGGGAAGAAAATCTGGTGTCAGCTTTCTCAACCTCTATCAGGATAGCGCTAAAACAAGCTGAACTGCAAGGCATCTTCACTGTGTGGGAGAGGGAGGTGCTACAGCCACAGTTATTTTTTCCCACCTAAAAATAAAGCCCCACAGCCAGAACATGTGAAAATAAAGTGCCTGAGCATATCTATAATGCCAGGAACATCCCCCACCATCAAGGACACATTCATGGAAAAGTGCCCATGGATTCTGCTCAGTGCTACTGTTTCTGGCTCCGTCCTTCCACCCAAACTGGAATTGTAAGCCTGCCCCTCCCACTCCTCATCCCTACCTCTCTACTTCTTTCCTTCCAGGTCTGAGTCTCCCTTCTGACTATCTGCTTATCGAGTTTGACTCTTTGGGGAGTTGGGGGATAAACAATGATTCTGTCACTCTTCAATAACCATGATGATTGAGGCAAAGAGGAAGGTAATAACTAGCAGCTGATATCTACCAAATGCTGGGCAAGTTCCACGCAAAGCACTCTGCACGTGTTGTCTGACTTCCCCTCATTGCAGGTTCATGAGGTCAGTACTATGAAGAGCTCCATTTTACAGCTGAGCAAAGTGAGTAAGATAAGTACTTCAGGTCATATGACTCATAGAGGTCAGAGCAGATATTTGAACCCAGGTTTGTGCAGCTCCACACTGTTGCCTCCTGTGAGGAGCAGCCTCACCAGGCCATCTTTCTGAGTGTGACCAACTGGCTATACTGAAATGACACCTGGCTAACCCAAGAGGACAGCACCAGCTCTGTGCTTTAGGCCCATGCCCTCTTAACTCACTACCTACTTGGGAGGTGGTATTTTCCAGAACAGAAGAACAGAATTTTTTTTTATGTTCTATCATATAATAGATTTTTTTGAACTAGAAGTTGGAACAAAAACTTGATGAGAAATTTCTTGGCTTAGTTTCTAATGGAGGACTTGCTGAATTCTAGAAACATGCAAAAGCAAGCCTAGATGCCAAAAATTCACTGACTTATCAGAAGATGGGAGGAAACTTCACACTGCATGTCCTAGAAACCCAGGCCATTCCCCTCCTGCTGCTCCAAAGGGAGAGCCATGGTTTCAGAGTGTGCAGTTTTCCCTTTGGTGCTGGGAAGGAAGGAGAAAGGTGCTGAGCTGCATGGCTTCCTGTATTACCTGGGAGATAGAATGATGCATTATGACAGTCCATTTTCTCCTCTTTATCCTTTAGCACTTTCTATCCAAATTACTTCCCTGTTGTCCCAAAGAACTAAATGGCAAAAGC